AATTGAAATTCAGTCTAAAATTCAAGGGATATGTGCTTTAGTTTGTCATGGAAGATATGAAAATACCTTTTATTTTCCAATAAAACAAGCATAACACATTTTCAATAATTTTGTGATTCACCTACATAATCGATGGTGTACAGAAGATTTATGTATGCATACAGCTCATGCCTAATGTAAAATAATCTTCTTTCTGAGCAACCTTGACAGAAAACAAGGAAATGAAGCAGTCTGCACTTACCCCATCAATTCACCATTTGTGGCTGCTGATCTCTAAATGCCATGGTCAAAAGATGGCAACAGGATTAACACAGAGGCCCCAAACAAGGAAGACAAAAATGGCAGCAAAGAGCAGCCCCAGGGTGAAGAGAAGCACAGTCTTTAATACAAATAAGCTAGTCTATGTTACTTATATCTAGCAATGCTTTTCAACCTTTTAGAACTGTGACATATTCTTATTTCTTTGATTTCAAGAGATCCTCATTGTGCAAAAGGCACTCTATGGTAGATTTCCCTTTTACATTAAAGGGAATTAAAATGCACAAAATATTCTCATGAAATTAATTTTGATAACCCTTTGAGATCAACTGAGACAGCCCAGAGCTTCATTAAGGCTGTTAGTAACTACTGAGCTACATAATCTTAAATGTTAATTAAATTTATAGACACTCTCATAATTTTATTTTATAATAAGTCTCACAAATTAGTACTATTTATGTGTTTGTATTTTAATATTTTTACTATCAGAATCTTCCTCTTTATTCAAGGCCCAGCTCAGGGATCACCTCCTCCATGAAGCCTCCCCTGCTCTTCCTTTTGTTTTTCTATTTCAAGCACATACCACAATGACTAGCAAAGAGTAGGAGCTTAATAAATGCTTTTTGATTGATTCCTGTGGTTGTTAGTGATCTCTCCCCTCTTCAATTTATCATAGGATCATAGAGAGTTGAAAGGGAACTTAGAGGTTAAGGAATCAACCCCCTCAATTTTACAGATTTACTGGGTCCCAGAGAAATTGTAAAATCACACAGCTAATAAGTGTCTGAGGTGAGATTCAAACCCAGATCTTCCTGATTCCAAGGCCAGACTCCATCTACAATCTCACACTGCCTTTTCAAATTTACTTTGGGGACTTGATGCTTATTTGTGGACCTGTGACTTTCATTTTTTCTTTGTATGTCCTGTGCCTAGCACACAGTAGGTGCTTAATAAATGTTGACTTTTTAAAAATAATTTATCTTATTTTCCCCCAATTACATGTAAAACAATTTTAACTTTTTTTTTCTTTCAAATTTTGGGTTCCAAATTCTCTCCCTCCCCCCTTCATTGAGAAGGCAAGCAATTTGACATAGGTTCTACATGTATAGTCATGCAAAATACTAAACTGACTTATTAAATCATCTTATCCTGCTTTCATTTACCCCAAAGAAATTGTAGTCATATATGTGGTACTAAAATACTTCATAGATAACTACAGTTTTTCCTCAGACACTTAACAGTTGTGTGATCCTGGGCAAGTCAGTTCACCCTGCTTGCCTCAGTTTCCTCACCTGAAAAATGAGCAGGAGAAGGACATGGCAAATCACTCCAGTATCTTTGCCAAGAAAACCCCAAAAGGGGTCATGGAGAGTCGGACTCAATTGAAAAACCACTCAACAACTAGAATTCTTCAAGTATCTGATGGGGGGGGGGGGGGGGTTTAATTCCTTCCCCTGATTCATAAGAAGATCCTTCTATGGCTTAGGATGTGGGTCGTTAGGAGCAATTTTGACAAATTAAATGTGGTCAGGAAACTTGGACCTTAAGAAAGCAGGTAAAATGATTAAAATCAGCATTCTTTTTTTTTTATTGCTTTTTTGGTGAGGCAATAAGGGTTAAGTGACTTGCCCAGGGTCACACAGCTAGTGTTAAGTAAAATCAGCATTTTTAACAGGCCAATAGTCCCTGGCCCCAGGAAACAGCATCACTGAGTTGTCCCACCATCCCTCCTCTTTTTTTTTTGCCTTGGAGCCCTTCAGATAAGCTTCTCAGAATTCAAACTGTTAAGGTCCTTGAGCAGGGCCTATTTCTGTTTTGCTTGTTTTGTTTCTTTTTTGTCCTTAGCACGTGACTGAATGGAGCCTAGCTAAACTGGTCTTCAGGTGTTAGATACACAGGTCTGTCTTCAGGCAAAAAGCCTTTTAAGCTAGGTAAAACCTGATGGAAGCTTGGGCTAGACTGGCATTGCCTAGGAGTCCACGGGGTGCCCTCCACACTAGGATGAGGCATGGGTGGCCTTGAGGAGGGGTGGGGGAGAAGGAAGGGGTAAACCAATGTTTACCTAATTCAAAGGCTTTTATGTGGCTTCCCTGATTAAAAATCATTAAATTTACCATAGGAATACAAAACAGTCAAGGAGGCAGCCCAATGCAGAAAAACTGAAGGGGGTCCCCTGAATTTAGATCCCAGCACTGCCACTTACTGTCAGTCTGATCTTCGGTTAATCATTTAACCTTTCTGAGCCTCAGTTTCCATATCTGTAAAATGGGGGGGGGGGGGGGGGGGTCAAGATAACTAGACGATCAATTAAAGGTCTTTTTTCAGCTTGAAGTCTATGATCCTAGGATATTGTTAAAATTGTAACAGTGTCATTATGTTTCCAGACTAATTAGGTAGCCAAGGGCAGGAGGGTATGTTTGACTATTTTCTTTATTTCTGATTTTTATTGTTGATCTGCCAGACTAAACATCATTTTGATGTTAATATTTTTTTAAAAATGGCAGCTGCTGCTTTTATTTGTATTTTAGTGAAACAAAGAAAGAGAAATCATGCTCCTGTGGTCTTTTAATGTCCATAAAATAAAGCATGTAAGTAGGAAGAGAAGGGGATATATTAGCAGATGACTGCCATCATGTCTGCATCATGGAAAAAAAATCCGCAGTCCAGTTTCTGCCTAGCAAACCCCAGGTACTGAAAAGCAAAGCAACAGATCCCCCCCCCCCCCCTTTTGGATTATGGTAGGCTCCATCTTCCTGCCTTCCATTCTGCCTATGGTTCCCACCTGCATTATCCAGATAAATACTGTATGATTAATCATATAACATAGAATAAAGACATACAGTGGGAGTGGCAAACCATTCTAGTTTCTTAAATGCACATAGCTCTTAGTTGAACACATTAAAGCATATTTTTGAACATCTACAGTCTAATTTCTAATCCTTGCTAGCACAGCTGCTGGACTCTAGGTGAGAAAAGACACATTTAATAGCTCAATAAACCCTATTGCCAAGGTGAAATTCAATTCTAGCACAGGGATTAACATACTAGTAATAACAGATTTCAAATTAAGAGAGCAACTGCACATATCACATTATCTATGCACCTTATATAGTACATATAACACCCAAAGCACTTATTAATTACATACAAATAAATAAAAATGAATCCTCTCACCCTTGCTGCATAAATCGCCTTTTAGTTAGAAATTATCATTTTATTTTTTTAAGGTACACATCATTCCTAGGTAGCCAAGGAAACAGACATGGCAGACAAAGCATGATGGGATTACCCATATAAAAACATCTCATGATGGGCAAAATTTTGACTCTCATCCATTTTAAATTACACAATACAACAAATAAGCAACACCAAATCTTATTCAGTTGCAGATATCCTCTATACATCAGAACTTAGAAAACGGATGGAAATCAATAAAATACACTTAAATTGAATTTCTTCAATGTGCAATCCTTCCAATATAATACGTAAGAAAAAGCCTTCTCATAGGTTTAAACTGATTAATGTTTTCCTGTCTCAAATGCAAAAAAAAAAAAAAGATGTACATTTCAAGCTTTTAAAAGGTGAATATAGCTATCTGTGAGGAGGGGCCATGTTTGGGAAAATTCAGTATCTTACCTGGTGCTATGTACATAGTGGGAGCTTCAACAGAAAGAATTTCAGTTCCCTGGGGGCACAAGCCTTCTTGTATTAACCACCCCCCCCCCCCCCCCGGCCTAGGACAGTGCTTTTACACGAAGCATACCTTAATATTTAAATAATATTTTATTGAACTAAATTGATTAAATAGTTGAATTTTATAAAACAAATTTCCCCAATTTTGCTCTTTTTGTAGGATTCAGTTGGTTCATTCTTTCCTGGTTTAATTGCCTGGTTCAGGTGATTCATGCTTTCTCAAATCCAAAAAGAATAATTCATCTTAAGCTACTAGAAGCTGAATCTAACTCTGCAGGGACGGGGCGGGGGTATGTGTGTGTGTGTGTGTGTGTGTGTGTGTGTGTGTAATAGGTCTGGTCAAACGGTATATTCCACTGGGTATTTTATACACAGTGGAAATTCAACAGAAGCTCCCAAAGGGTAATTACGGTCAGTGCAGCTGTGGTGGGTTCCTCTCCCCGGGTGCCTAGCTTGCATTTGGTGGCATTTAAAAAATCCTTTTGCTGGATCATACTCAATGAATGAAGGGGGGGGGAAAGGCGCTTTCCTCCTTCTCTGCTTATTTCTCTCCGCCCTTACTTTTTTGGGGGCCTCTCCACTCATCCATACCGCACCCCTTCCCTATCAAGCCTAAAAGAAGTCCAGCAGCAAACGTGGGTGCTTTGGCTCACCCCCCAAATCCTCTATGGCCCGCCAGCCTGGTGGCCGCATATTCCCCCCCCAACATGGCTGGTGACCATTTCTTTCATAACCCGCATTTTGGAGCGCAGCCCCCCTCCCTCCTTTCTAGCTCCTTCGACCGCCCCCCTCCCTTTCCCTCAGCCGCCCACGTTGCGAAGTCGAGCAGGGCAGCGCGCGCGCCCCCCTCCCGCCCCCCGTCTAGTCTAGTCTGGTCTAGCCCAGTCTATGCCAGCCCAGCCCCCTTCTCCCAAGGATCGCTCCCCCAGCCCTCCTGGACGCCCAGATGGGGGTCTGCGGGCAGGGACGGGCAGGGGGGGTAGGGTAGCGGGCGGGGGTGGGGGAAGAGGAGGCGGCAGGACAGGGCAGGGACGGCGGGGTCAGCTCACCACGATGCTGGGGCTCAGGTTCGCCATGACGGTGCGGGAGGCTCGACGGCGGCGGCCGGGCAAGGAGAGGAGAAGGAGACAGAAGCAGTGGAGGAGAAGGAGGAAGAAGAGTAGGAGGAGAAAGAGGAGGCGGCGCCCAGGGAGCGAGGGAGCAAGGGAGCGATCAAGATGCGACCGTGCCAGCCCCAGCTCCGAGCTGAAATGGCGCAGACTCCGCCCGCCAACTCTGCAAGCCACCTCCTCTGCCGCCCCGCCCCTTCCCTCCTCCCTTTTCAATCTACTTTTCTGTGCTCCCCTCCCCCACTTCGACTCTGCTCGCCCCCGCCCGCCCCGCGGCAGGCAGGCATGAGCCGAGCCACACACTCACATACACTCACATAGGTACTGTCTCCCGCCTTTATTTTATTTCAGGATACAACTCCATCCATTAAAACACACATTAAGGGCCTACTAGGTGTAGGTGCCAGGCACCGGGCAAACGCCAGGGACGCTAAGACAAAAAGACAGTCCTTGCATTCTGGAAACAACCCATGCACACTTGCAGCACCTCTTCTCCCCAGATCTGCCCCCCACCCCCACCCCCAGCTCTTACCAGTTTTTCCCCCGCCATCTCCCGTGCCCACTCCTCCTCCAAGGACTCTGCAAAACTGAGCCTCTTTCTATCTCTGGATGAGTTGGCTCTTTGCGGCCTTGTGATGCAGTCAGTGCAGTGGTAAGGGCGCCAAACCTAGCCTCCTAAGACCCAGGTTCCAATCTCATCTCTGCAGCTTACGACCTATGTGACCTTGAGCAAGCTATTTCATCATTTGCAAAACTAGGGGGCTAGACGGGTTGACCTCCACAGTCCTTTACACCTAGGATCCATTCTTTGCTCAATGAACTCCTTTCCTACGACTCTCTGAGAATAGAGACCCTGTTTGCATCTCTTAACAAAGCTTTGCTCAGGGCGTTGCCCAGGGTATTGCACATAGTGCAATAAATATTGGCAGCATGAATTACAAAACCTCAAAAGGTAGGGCTTAGATTCCGACTTCTGTACTTTTGCACTGGACGCCTCCACCCTACTCCCATGCCTGGTATACATTCTTTCCTCAACTGCACCTCTTAGAATCCCTACTTCCTTTCAAAGCACAGCTATGAGAACTGTTTCCTGATGCTTCTAGTTGTTAATATCTTCTCCCTTCTCCTGAAGTTATCATGTGTTCAAGTTTCTCTGTTTACATATTATCTCCCCCCAGTAACATTAAACTATTTGAACTAAGGGACTATTTGATTTCTGTCTTAGACTCTCCAGTATCTAGCATAGTGCTTGGTATATAGTAGGCACACGGACACCCATAGCCAGATTCAAGTCCCAATTCAATCACTTGTTAACTGTATGGCATAATTATGAAATGCTTCACTTTGTCTTTCTGGGCCTCAAGTTTCTGCATTCAAATGAGGGAGTTGGAAGACCTCTAAGGGCCTTTCTAACTCTTAGAATTCTTGAATTTCTATGATTGGTTCATTTGCTCATTCAAAATATATATCCCTAAATATATGTGAAATCATGGGTCCCCTCAGGGAAAAAAAATGTGCCAGGCACTGTACTAGACCCTGGGGACACAAAAGACAAAAAATCAATCTCTTTCTTCAAGGAGGTTACCTTCTATAGGGGGAACCAACATGCATACATCTATGTATACTCACAGGCTTCCCCCACTTCCCTACCCCGACCCCACCTTAGCTCTGCAGCTCCAGAAAGAGCAAAAGGGATCTGCTGTGGACTTCTTTCTTTGACCCAGTGCAAAGGTATGGCTTGGACCCACAATAGTTCAGTCAAGCAATTCATTCCCAATAGATGAGAATTAAGATGTCCTCACATTCAGGGAGGTGTTACTGGACCAGTCCTGGTAGAGTTTCCCCAGTTAAGAGGTAGACGATCAGTGGGGATAAGCACAGCTTTTAGAGGAAGATGCAAAGATCCAAAGACTCGTCAAGTAGCCCCAGAAATTCCCCATCAACCTCCTTTATGTCAGAGAGGGAGAGAGAGAGAGAGAGAGAGAGAGAGAGAGAAACAAGTCAAACATGTTACCAAGATGTAAATAACACTTCCACAGGTCGGGGCAGAATGGAGGGGGAGGTCTTATGATTCATTTTTTAAAAGTCCATAATTATTTTCTCTGTGAAAAGCACTGAGCAAAGAAAAAAAAACAACCTGGGAAAAAAGTCTCTGCTCTCAAGCAGTTCACATTGTAGTGAATATAGAGGTGGAAAGGATCTTATGAACCATCCCATTCAACCCTTTTATTTTAAAGATGAGGAAACTGGGGCCCAAAAAAAGGAAATGACTTGCTCAAGGTTACCTAGCAAGTCAGTAGCAGAGCCCCATCTCCACCAGTAGGAGATAATTATAATTATATAGTCTCATTTGGTCCTCACAACAATTCTGGGAGGTAGGTACTATTCTTATCTCCATTTTACAGATGAGAAACTGAGGCTGAAAGAATTTAAGTAACTTGCCGAAATTCCCTCAGCTGGAGTCTGAGGCAGAATTTAAACCTTGGGCTTTTTGGACTCCAAGTGCAATACAACACTTTGGCCGCTGTGCAAGACCACAGAAAGCTTTAGAAAGGAGGTTTTGAAGCTACATTCCTTAAGTTGATTACCCTCTATGTAAAACTGTATAATAATAATAATAACAACAATTAGCATTCATATAGTGCCTACTATGTGCCATGCACTTTACAAATATTATCTCATTTGGTCCTCACAATAATCCTAAGAGATAGGTCCTATTATTATCCCCATTTTACAAATGTGGAAACTGAGGCTGGTTGGTTGATTGGTTGTTGTCCTTTGTTCTTAAAGAGGACCAAAATGACATCATTATGTTGGGGTAAAGGTACGGTGTGTCTCACTGTGGTTGGTCAGATGAATTGCTGGGAAGGCTGTGCCACAGGTCAGGCACAAATAGTCCACATGAACATTCGGAATTTGTACATCTCGAAAATCTTTTGAGCTACTGCAGTTCTACTTTGCTCATAGAGCACAGTGCTTTCTTTGATGAGGGCATGCCATGCTGGGCAGTCCTGGGCCAGTGTCTCCCATGTCTCACAATCGATTCCAAAGTTCTTCAGAGAGACTTCGAGTGTCCTTGTATCACTTCTTCTGACCTCCACGTGAGTGTTTGTCTTGTGTGAATTCTCTATAAAAATTGTCTTTTAGGCAAATGTACATTTGGCATTCAAATAATGTGGCCAGCCTATCAGAGTTGGGCTCTCTGCAGTAGAGTTTGAATGCTTGACAGATTAGTTTGAGAAAGGACCACAGTGTCTGGTATCTTATCCTGCCAGGTGATCTTCAGAATCTTCCAAAAACAATTCAAATGGAAGCGATTCAGTTTCCTGGCATGGAGCTGGTAGATTGTCCATACAACAAGGTCAGCACAATGGCTCTGTAGACTTTCAGTTTGGTAGGCAGTCTAATACCTCTTCTCTCTCACACTTTCCTTCGGAGCCTCCCAAACACTGAGCTAGCTCTGGCAAAGCGTGTATCAACCTCACCATCTATGTGGACATCCCTGGAAAGTATACTGCCAAGGTAATTGAACTTATCTCCAGCATTCTGGCAGATGGAGGTTAAGTGACTTGCCCAGGGTCACACAGCTAGTCAGTGTCTGAATCTGGATTTGACCTCAAGTCTAATTGACTTGAGGCTTAGTTCTCGCTATCCCCTGCACCACCTAGCTTCCCTAATATTTCCTAGTCTTTATGTTAGTGGCACCTAACAGTGCTTTTTTTTTTTTTTTACACAGTAGGCACTTCATAAAGTTTGTTGTTTGCTTAACTTGCAGGAAAAACAAATCTGTATTCTCTCTCTCTCTCTCTCTCTCTCTCTCTCTCTCTCTCTCTCTCTCT